AGCAAATTAAAAACATGGAGAAACAATGAACTGCTGCAGATCACAAAGAAACCATACAGTTTCTCAAATTTTAAAAGTCTAGAGTCTTTACAGTAAAAGCGTTTTTGTCAATGGAACCAGTGCTTTTAATATTCAATATTTATGTTATCGAAGTCACCCTTAGAGAACTTCAAATATATTCCGTATGCACCACAGTATAGCACAATTTCATATGCTTTCAACTTATAAGACATAATATTCTGTATAATGCATAGGCCAATCAAATTAGAGTCCTTTGGTATAAAAGGATCAATAAAAGGGCTAAACACTGTTTCTGAGTATCCACCCACTCACTCCCTGCTGGCTGTTATACATTTCCAAATCAGTAAACAGAGCCTTAACATTTTGTCTTTGATCATAGATAAGCTCTCCTCATGTGCCACTGTTAATAACCATTGGGGTATCTCTGTTTTTTTTTGTTGTTCTTGAAAACTCAAAGGCACTCAACAGTTCTATAGTCCACAAATAAGCATGGCGCCCTATCATCATCAAAGCTAAACACAGTGAAGCTATTCAAACAAGTAATAATGCATATGAATATATTTCCATGTAAAATGGAGATCAAAACGAATAAACCAAAATAAAACATGGCAAACACTTAAAACAGTCACTACCTGTTAAAATAGACATTTCTGGGCTACCTAAGTGTGATAGTAGAATTTCAAAGTAGAAATAAAAGTTTTTTGTTAAGTTTTGGGAGACTGAAGAAGTTTGGTGTGAGATGATTTGGTGTGAGAAGAGATGATTGAGCAAACTTCTAACATGTAAAGGCTGCTGTATATATGATGGAGCAGTAGGCTGGGCAAGGGGCCTGCCTCACGTGGCATATTCTAACGGCAGGAAGCACGGCAGGCCCTTTAATCCTGTCTCCACTCTCCCAACATGACTGCTTGTGGCTGTCCGAGACTGTCAGGCTTTGCCCAGTCGCTTTCTCCCTGTGTTTTATAAGGAATGCTGTTGGGAAAGATGGAGCAAGCAGAGAGCGAGACAGACAGCCCATTTAAGAGATGCCACTGCCACAGCTGCCCTGGTGCTGCAGTGCGGAATTTGCCTGAATGGGAAAGCACCAAATGCCAGGTGAAGCCTTGATGTCAGTGAGGTAGGAGAGCACAGGTGTGTCTTGCATGGTCTGCCTGATGCCCGCTAAGTTAACCTGCAATCTTCAGCTGCAGTGAAGAATACAGTTTTGCTTATTTATTGATTTATTATGTTTATTTATATCCCGCTTCATCTCTTCATATAGAGACTCAAAGCAGCTCACAACTAAAAACATTTCAATACAACTTAAAATATACAAATATTAAAACAGTATTAAACAACATTAGTACTAAAACAATCCAGGTTAAAACCAAAAATGCATATAAAATCACACCACAAAATCACAACAACCCTTGATGTTCTTAAAAGCTTGCCTGAATAAAAAGGTTTTAGCCTGCCACATGAAGGACAGCAGGGAGGGGGCTGTTCTGACTTCCCTGTGCAGGGAATTCCAGAGTTGAGGGGCAGCCACAAAGGAGAAAGTCCTGCTCTCTTGTTCCCACCAATCAAGCCTGAGATGGTGGTGGGACCGAGAGAAGGGCCTCTCCTTGAGATCTCAAAGCCCGGGCAGGTTCATATAAGGACATGCGGTTGGCCAAATACCTTGGAGATGAACCTAGACAGGCTTTAAAGGTCATAACCAGCACTTTGAATTGTGTCCGGTAATAGACAGGCAGTCAGGGGAACTGCTGCAACAGGAGGGTCATACGCTCCCTGTAGCTAGCCCCAGTTAGCAAGCTGGCTGCAGCTCTTTGAACCAGCTGAAGTTTCCAAGAACACTTCAGAGGCAGCACCACATAGAGCGTATTACAGTAATCCAGACGGGATGTAACTAACGAGCATACCACCATGGTCAGATCTGGCTTTTCAAGGAATGGGAGCAGTTGGCACACAAGTTTCAATTGTGCAAAGGCCCTCCTGGCTACCTCCGATCCGATACCTGGGCTTCCAGGTTCAGTGCCGAGTCAAGGACCCCCAAACTACAGACCTGTGTCTTCAGGGGAAATGTGATCCCATCCAGCACAGGCTGGATCCCTGTTCCCTGATCTGCCTTCTAACAGACCAGGCATACCTCTGTCTTGTCTGTATTAAGTCTCAATTTGTTTTCCTTCATCCTGTCCATTACCGATGACAGACACTGGTTTATGAGTGAGGAAGTAAAATCCAATTATAACTGCGATTGTCTTCTGTGCATAGGATTAGTAGTGCACCATCTTGCCATTTGCGCATAGAAGAAAATGTTTTGTGCTGATAGATACCCTGTATATTTCAGGTCCATATAGTAAAAAGTCTGTCTATGGGGGACAGTGAAAAATCAACTAAGTCAAACAACACAAGCTTTCATAGTCTAAATCTACTTCCTCAGATACATCTGAGAAAGTAGACTAGGGGCCCATTTACACTGGCTTCACATGTCAGAGCAGATCCAGAGTGGGGTTCCCCAGATCAGTGCCAGAGGAATCCACACAACCAGTCACAGAGCTGGCTCAGTGGCTGGTGGGTGTCCACATTGCACAGCACTGAGCTGGACCACTGGCACAAATGAGTTGAGACAGCCTAGTGCAGAATTGCTGGTGGTTCTGATGCTGATGCTCCAGCCAGCAAGCAATGGCCACCAGCAGTTTTGTTTCTGGTGGTCACCACTTAGCTGAGGCCACCCAGGTGTTGATGGGACTATTATTCCCATCATGATTCACATAGAAAATGTATGTCAGCAACATCCGGGGAGGGGGTACCTGTTCTATAGCTCATGACAAAGAAGCAATTTGGATTGAATCAAGTACTGGTTGACAACCTGACATAGATTTTTTTAAGGATGCCAGGAGAATGCTGTAACTAAGGAAACTGATAAGACCTTCTCCCAAAATGATATACAGCTTAATGGAGTCACTTAATGGAAAAATAGAAGGACTGGGATAAAGTATTCACTTTTTTCTTTTAATACAAGCCAATTAGAGCTATATGAGATTATTATTGGTTGACGTTTATGCCAAAACTATCTTTCTTGCCAGTGGGAGCAGGGAAGAATTCAGAACTGGTTCATAGGAAAATCATAAAAACATGTTAGTGACCTTTGAACAAACATTTGTAGATAAATTAGGCCAATTCAAATTAAATAAATTCCATAGGAAGATTCAGTGGAAACAAAATTAATCTAGAAACAACTAGGAGGTGGCATCATATAAATATTAATAAGTAAAATGTAAATTAAAGAAACCGAATAGGAAGGGGGGAAATCTGAATAGGAAAACTGAACCGTCCTTTCCCACAAGACTACATATAGAAATTCACAAACTAGACGACAGAAATGAAAATGTTTGCTACTCTCATAAACCCTCTCCTAATCTTAAATCTCAATCCCAGGAAAGATTCTAGGGCAGATAATTACGTATTTAGAAAAGGAGTGTTGTGATCACTAGAAGTCAACATGGTTTTTACAAAAGCAAGTCATTCCACGTTAATCTTATTTCTATAGTTTTTTATTTTATCATTAGGTCATGGTAGTCTTGCAAGGAAGCTAGTAAAATGAAGACTAAAAAATGCTATTGTTAGATTCGCAATTGGTTAACCAGCCAAACTGAAAGGGTGCTTATAAAGACTCAAAGAAGAGGCTTCTCAAGGCAGGGGGGAAAACAATCAAAGAAATCCCACCACTGTCCTTCCTTCAATAAGGAATTCACACCTCTTCGGCTATTCTAGTGTTTGAGGGGATGTCACGTTGTGTAAAACCTTCGCTGCCACCAAACTAAAGAAATCACGAACCCTCTAGCTATTTTTTAAAATGTTGTCAGGCTGTTTTAAATTAATAAAAGGCTTTTTACTCCACCAAAGGCTGTATATAATCAAGGGCTTTCTCTGAGGGGAAAACAGGAGAGGTTGATTCAAAAAGGAAAGGGACTCAAAACCAAAAATAGCACTTGACTCAGGTTTTAAGTTTAAAAAATAACAAGAAAGAGTTTATTGAAATACAAGTTATAGATTTACAAGTGAATGCAGGTTCAGAGGCTTGATGGTTACAGAATAAAAGTGTTCTTGTTTCTTAGAAGCGTATTGGTTACTTGAGAGAATGTTCTTTTCTTAGTTACAATTTCTTAAACATAAAAAAACCCAGCTATTTTCTTCTCAAAATAGCTGTAACTCAGTCTGCCACAGCCTACTGTGCTGTGCAAACTACAGGCAAACTGCCTTTTCTTCACAGAGACTCCTAAACAATCCAACTCCTACTCTAATCTCTCTCCAGAACGAAAACTGCTCTCTACTCTTCTCAGAACTCAGCTGAACTAAAGACTGAACTGTCAAAACTATCTCTTCTCTTTCCCTCCATCTGGCTAACTCCGCCCCTATTCCCTAAACCAATCCTGGCTGTTGCTGGGCTGGCACAGGCCTCGGCCACTCCCCCTCTCTGAACTGGAACTTTTCCCTAAACTAAGATGGCTCCAGCAGCTCTCTCTGCCAGGCCCTCTAGCTGAAACTACCTAGCCTGTCTCTTCCTGGGCCCTGCCACCCTGGCTGGCAAGGTAAGGGATCTTTACAGTGCTCACCAAAGGCGCCTCTTCATTCTGGAGGGAAGTGACTAGGGGGATGCCACAGGGTTTTGTTTTAGGCTCAGTGTTATTCAGCATTTTTCCCCTCCAGGAAAGATATGTTCTTTCTCAGAGGTACTGAATAAAAACCTCATGTATATTCTCTAGAATCAGATGGAGTGGACATTTGCAATACTGGGGAAATAGTGCTGACCAGCCGGACAACTGTGCTGTAAACCTTGTTTAGCCAAAATGCTAGGTGTTTCTACAACTGTATAATTTCCATATGTCCTCAAAAGGCTGACATGCTGTTGGAAAGCTCAAAGGTATAATTTTAAAAATGCTGCTGTAGAGCTATTATCCTTGAGTATAAGGAAGTTGAAGAATCAACAGACCATGTTTGATATTAAGCCTTTATTTTTCAGAAAGGGAAATACATAGAATGTTAAACACTTGTTCTTTCCAGCAAAAGATGAGCCATTAGACTGACAACACAGGGATGCAACACACAGTCTAGCAAATCATTTGTGCTAATGACTGTTTTGGGGGAGTCAGCACTCAAGTTTGTATCCTTCTGATCAACAAATGCCCTGGAATCACTATCCTTTCCAAATGTGTTCCCTGCAGGGTGCAATTTTCCAAAGCGTCCATCATTTCCACTAAAAAGGCCTTGGGAGCTCTGCTCAGCTATTTCTTTTGCATGTGTTTTCTGAGACTGTGGTAAAACCTGCAAGAGATTTGGTCCAAAGGGATTTTCCCCCATGTTTTTTGTTTTGATTCTCGCTAGATGAGATTCACAGGGCTTGACTCTTATGTCCTGTGCTTCTGGGTTTGCTTGGATTTTCCTTTTTTTACATGGGTCTTGAAGAATCCCTTCAGCATCCTGAGATCCACTAAGTCTGTGTTCAATTGTACTGGTCTTCTTATGCTCTAAATATGCAGAAACAGCTCCATTTAAGTATTTGAGGTTGGTTTCATGAGATGTTATTTCAACCTAAAAAGTAAACAAATAAACACACCTTTAGAATTTCCAAACCTGCAACTCTTCAAATTTAGCCTAAATTGAATTGCTAATTCCAACCTATGCATATGTTGCTCCATATGTCCTTACTAAACTAAAGCATAACCAACTACAAATGCTAGTTTCAAAGTGTGACTTAGAATGGTTCTTAGGTTAAACTTCTACCTACCACTATTTTAACAGCCAATTTTCCAGCTGGAATCTACTCCAGTTAATTTAGAAATATGGTTCTGGTAGATTGCAGCAGAGGCCCCTTCCATACATAATCCATATTATCTGCTTTGAACTGTGTGGATTCAAATATTCCAGTTCAAAGCAGATATTGTGGGATTTTCTGCCTTGATATTCTGGGTTATATGGCTGTGTGGAAGGGCCCTGACTGGCTTGGAAAAGCAACTGGATTTTCACAGTACTGATTTATTTTCTGGATATTTTTCCAGTAGTCTAACAACTGAAACTCTAGAGACAGCTTTTCTTTCAAATGTTTGGCTCCCTTGAAGGCCATTTTCAAAGGGGACTTTATGCCCATTCCCCCAAATTTAATGTCTTGATCTTACTTTTCCAGTGACATCAGGTTTAGTCCTGCTGTTGGTCTCTGAATGATTTCTACAGTCCTCACTACAATCCTCTTCCTGCCTTCTGCAATCCTCAACAGAAGCAACAAATCTACCCTTAACTGTCCTGCTTGCTTCTTAAATAGGAGATCTCCAATATGTGACGTTTAGTACCATCAAAGCTACTATTCACCTTAAGGAAGATTGATAGTAAAATTTAAAAAGGATCTGCCAACCTTGTAGCATACTACTTACTTGTTCCCTTCTTCCCCCTTTATTCCCTTGTCTCCTTTTCAGTCGTAACAAGTCATGCCACAGTTGCCCCTTCGCCTATTCTAACTTTGGATACCATTGTTGTTGTTGTTCATTCGTTCAGTCGTCTCCAACTCTTCGTGACCTCATGGACCAGCCCACGCCAGAGCTCCCTGTCGGCCGTTACCACCCCCAGCTCCCTCAAGGTCAGTCCAGTCACTTCAAGGATGCCATCCATCCATCTTGCCCTTGGTCGGCCCCTCTTCCTTTTGCCTTCCACTTTCCCCAGCATAATTGTCTTCTCTAGGCTTTCCTGTCTCCTCATGATGTGGCCAAAGTACTTCAACTTTGTCTCTAGTATCTTTCCCTCCAATGAGCATTGTTAAGCCTCCTTAAAACCTTCACCCTTCAGTATCTTAGTGCTGAATCTGATCTGAGGGGTCCAAACTTCTGGGTCCCCTTCTCTGTGTGGACATTCCCCACCAGTAAGCTTTCATATAATGTTGCCAAATTTCTGAAGTCATACAGATTGGAACAGCTCTACCTTTTCAAATACCTATATGAAAAACTATCTGGTAAATATCCTCTAGCAGGAGCTAACAACTAGCTCTCTTTTTTTCTGTGTCAGGAGCGACTTGAGAAACTGCAAGTTGCTTCTGGTGTGAGAGAATTGGCTGTCTGCAAGTATGTTGCTCAGGGGATGCCCGGATGTTTGATGTTTTACCATCCTTGTGGGAGGCGTCTCTCATGTCCCCGCATGGGGACCTGGAGCTGACAGAGGAGCTCAACCTGCTCCTCCCGGATTCAAACCGCTGACCTGTCAGTCAGCAGTCATGCTGTCACAAGGGTTTAAACCATTGCACCACCGGGGGCCAAACTCACTGTCATGGAAAAACAATCCTGATAAACGTCTATCTAATTTCTGTCAATAAACCTCCAATAAAGAGGAATCCAGCACCTTCATTGACAGTCTATTTCATCGTGGAACCACAATTCCTATCATGAAATTACTCTGGAATCTCATTTCTTCTAATCTGATATACAATTGACCCTTTGACACTACAAAGTTGCAGCATTTTGACAGTACTTTTGACAGTAGCCATGGTTTCATCTAATGGAAGCCTGGAACTGGTAGTCTCATGTGCTGTTTAGAATGGTCATTGTGATAAATTACATATCTTTTTCAAGGCAGAGTAAGCTCCGAAAAGTAGGCCCAGGAAGTTCAGAAGCCATTTTAGAAGGGTGCCTGGGGGCATCCATTTTAGAAACTAATTTCCTGGAGGGGGCGGTGCTTAGGAGCAGCTTGGAGGGAAATGTGAAAGTGGCCGGAGCTTAACTTGAGAAAATGAAAAAAATGTCTTTAAGGGGGCATTTTAAAACCTGAAAGCTCAGTTAGTGTCGGTGTGTCAAAGAAGAAGGAGATTGGGTTGAGTGTGAAGAAGAGAAGAGTTAGTGAAGCCTAAAGTTGGTCAGTTAGTCAGCAGAGTTAGTTAGTGAGAAGATTATTGGGAAAGATAGCTGGTGGAGTGGAGAGACAGATCCAGAAGGAAAGGGCTGTCTGTGTGGAGTTTAGAAATAGTAGGCAGAGAGGAATCCTGTCAGTAGTTTCTGGAGGGAGAGAGGAGTGTTATTTGTAACTAAGTTTTGAACTGTTTAAAGAAACCATACACTTTTATCCAATATTGAAACAGCTAAGCTTAAAGCCTGTATTGTTCAAGTTCTCTCAAATAAACAACATTGTTATTTGTTCACAACATCTGTCTCAGTGTGCCTCTGTGTGAGAAGTTACCAAGCAGTTTATAGAAGAAATCAAAGTTTAAATGGTGGCAGCATGCATTTACAAAGGAATCTCTTTATTGTTACCTCAGAGTACAAAGCCTGAGTGCGAATTCAGCACATTCTAGCCTAAAGATACCTCAAGACAAGAGAAAAGGGCTTAACATTTCTTTTAAGTGTGGTGGTAGCCAGTGTTCTTTTATAAGGTTTTTCGGCCAGAAGATTGTTACAGCTTATTCAGTTTCTGATTTTTACTTAAACAGGCCACATTCTATTACAAGTGGTGGTACAGTGTTGGGATTTATACTTAAATAATCAATAATCTATTTCAGTCATCTACAGAGCTCTAGAACCTCCTAAAATTACAAATTCCTAGATTAGGCAATTCAAAAAATTTCTGGATGCAACAACACCAATTAAAATGTAACCAAGATATTATAATTGTATAGTATGGAAGTGTGCAGCATCTGTCTCTCTCAAACACATGCACCATTAAAAGTACTTCTGCCTGTAGCTGTTTAACAAAGTCAATATTTATTTTACAATGGTTAATATAGGTATATACAAACAGAATAAATTCTGTTGTTTATCAGGGCTGTTTCTCTGCAGTGCTAATCCAAGATCATGCAACACAGACTTTCACTCCATTACACCAGAGATACCAAACATGGATTTTGTAAAAGCTGAAGGGAAAGAAGAAATTTGTATTGTAGTATTTCAAAAATGTCACCCAAGCAAAAACATGTACAAACTTTGGTTGAGTAATGAAAAGGAGAATTTGACCTCAGTAGGATTGAGCCAGGCATCTGACGCAGCAGGGTTTTCTATTGATTTGACTGCACATATCAGTGTCCGAGTTATTGCCTCTTCTACGCGGGCTTCATGATCTGCACCCTGTAACAAAGAAATTATCCAGTTGGCAATTGGAATTACAGTACACTGAAATAAAGGCAAGAAAAGAGAAATAAAGAGAAGAGACTTCAAAAAGTAGGGGTCACAGAACAATTTCTATGAAACAAGGAGCCAAAAGGCCTACTGACACAAAAAGGTCTTTAACTGCTGGTGGAAACAGAGCAGAAAGCAGGCTAATTGGAAATTAAATTCCATTGATTCAAACTGTTGTTCATCTGGAATATCAGAATGCAAAGGGATTCTGTAGCACTTAAAACTATTTTAGTTGGTCTCTAAGGTGCTACAAGATCGTTTTCCATTCATTCAGTAGGTTTACTCAAATGGGGATAGGACACTGGATTTAGACTCAAGGGTTCAAGAGTAAAGCCTCTCATGTTATAAGACTGTGCAATGCACATCACCCCAGAGATTAACATCTCTTAGAATCATAGCTAGACTTTCACTGCATCATATGCCCATAAACGCCACACGACCAAGCAATCACATTTTACTAATTGGGAGACAATGCATTGCATTAGTGCCTTGTTAATTGAGGCTTCTGATCCGTAATTTATACCACAGGGATAGCATCTAACATATAGGATCTTTAATTTAGGAAGATCAAAAAGGCATGTCCCAAATTGTGTCTCTAAATGATTTAAGCTCTGGAAACACAAAGGATATTGCTGTGAGACGGCAAACGCCTTGGGAACTATTAAAAATGTAAGACTAAATTATTTTAAATTCCAGGGAGCATACTGTCATCTGACAGTACCACCAGCCTACTTATGCATTATTGCAGCCTTAAACAGCGAGCAAAGTGGGGTGGGTAAATGTTGTCTTTAACGAAGGATACCAGCACACAGCTTTTAAAGATGAAACAAGAATCCAGTAATTGATTCTTACACGTTACAAGCTGTCATGTCTTTCCCGGGTGCCTTTAGGGGATGAGATACAAAGACTAATTTAGGATTTTGTCAGAATAAGATGCCTAGAAAGGCAGAGCCTGACTGTCCAACTCAAAGGCATTAGAGCTGGGAACTGATTTAGGGACAAGGAGACACCAATTTAATGGGCAACAGTACTTGGGTGGCTACAGTGCTGAGGAAATAAGCAGTCATGGAAGAAAAGGAAATGCAAGATTCAGTTACTGAACAGTCAAGGCCAGGGACTCTGGCAGATTTTGGGATGTCATAAAAGGGCAACAAATTGCCAGGTACTTCATTTATGGCTGTCGTTTTACCACCAAGAATGGAGAGAGGTGTTTGCAGGATTTTCTGCCTCGGGATGCTAAAATAATTTAGCTGTTTTTGATGCTGTATGCCTTGACTTTAGTGGATTGGAGGGATTTGGTGGGTTTATTTGCTTTTCTGCCTCAGGCAGGAAAATGTCCTAGCCCAGCTCTGCACACAATAGGTTATGACTTCCTTGTTAAAATTTTACATTAGAAATGGGAATCAGGCAGACCTCCAGATGTTGTTGAACTGGAACTTCCTGCTATCCCAGCTGGCATAGCCAATGGCAGGGAGGACTGGAGTTGCAATCCAACATCTGTAGAGCTATAGAATTCCCATCCTTAGCTCTCCATAGATTCCTTTTCACCCCTATGTTGTGTCTCATTCTTATTTCTCATCTATTTAGCAAAGCTTGAGTAAACACTTGATATTTCTAATGATGCCATTATCTTTGATATAATTCAATATTAACAAATGAGTGCACCATAATGTTATTCAAGGTGGGGCCAGTAAGCATCTTTGTTTTACTGCTCGTGTTGTTGGACAAGCTTCTTTCAGACAACCATTTCTGCCAACTCTGACCTTCATTTTAACATATATATGAATGATTTAGTGCCATGTTTAGCTAAAATTGACACCTTCACCAGTAACCAGAAACGGAAAGTTTTTCGTCCTGAAGTATGCAGATGATCTAATGCTCATCTCCCTCTCTTGATTGGGTCTTCTGAAGGCTTTCAGTACCTACTGCGAAGAGGAATGTCTGTCAATAAATTACTCCAAGACCAAGGTTATGGTTTTTGGCAGATGCTGCCCTAGGTATAAATGGTATTTAGACCAACATGCCATAGAACAAACCCATCTATTCAAATATCTGGGAATTGTTTTAGTGAACCTCTTTCCTGAAAATGCCACAGGGAAGCAGTGAAGTTGAAAATCAAGACAACAATAAGAGCTCTGTTGAAATTTTTTCCATACTCATGGTGGTCAGCTAATTGAACCTGCTCAAAAAAAATTCAGACTTTGCATCTGTAGCCAGTGTCAGGTGGAAGACATTGTGCACTACATGCTAAATTGCCCTTTGTATAGTGACTCGAGAGGAAGATATTTGAAACCGCTGCTGGTAAAAGATAATGAGAACTCTCTTGTAAAAACTGTCCAGTTTTTGCTAAGTGAATCAAATGATTATGTAATGTATAAATTGTCCCTCTTTGCTTTGTCTGCAAAAAGCTTCAAAAAGAGAGCTAGATAAAATTGTCATCACCTGATACAGAGACTCAAGGGGCTAATTTGACCCTCCTTCAGTAACTATCGATAATTCACATTATTTTTTGCTCTTTGTGTAAGCATGAAGCTCACCTATGTTTGTTATCTTTTGCTTCCTATTTGCCTAGAGGGTACTATTCTGTCCACCCTGCACCTGTACCTTTTTGTCATGGCCTTGGGCTGGTACAATAAACTATTTGATTGATTGACTGTTATTCAAGTTGAAGATGCCGGATGTAGCTTCCTTAGTATGCAGAATTTGAATAATAAATTTATCCATACTATCACTGCCTACACTATATTCAGGAGAGAAAGCTTCTGGAACATGGCCATACAGCCCGGAAAACTCACAGTAACCCAGTGATTCTGGCCACGAAAGCCTTTGACAACACACTGCCCACACTATTAGATAACTAGAAGTCCTGGAAAAAATGTTTTAGGTTCATTTAGTGCAGATAACCACCTTGGTTTCTTTGGGATAGTCTCCTTTTAAAAAAAGTTTGGGTACCCCAATTCTGCTCAAAAACCCTTGCAAAAGGATGACTTCAAAGCTAAGAGTTGGGCAGTCCCTGATGGGCTTGTCATGGGAACTCACCTAACGTCACATTCAAAATCTAACAGCAGATTTTTCATCCGGTGGAAAAGAAGTTTGGAGTCACGTTCAATGAATCCACATATCTTATGAAAACTGATGCATCACAAAAGACTTGGGAACCTCTCAGAATTGTCTTATAGTGTTTACAGTCACAGTGTATCATGGACCATGAAGTCTTCAGTTACTGTACAGAACCTTGTGACTAAATAGCTAATGGTATTGATAAATGAAATACAAATGCAGGAAAATGCCCAGGGCCATTACCTGATAAATTCAATGTAGGTGAAAAATTAAAAAAAAAAAAAGATATTGTTCCAAGAAAATGGACTTAAAGGAAGATTTCCTCCTTGAGGTTTCTGATATCCTTCCTCCAAATCTTTTGATATTATCACAAAATAGTTTCACAAGACGGAACCATTTCAGTTAAGTCATTAACATTTTAAAATGTGAAGATTTTGGTCATCTTCCCTTTGGTATATGAAAACTATTGAGCATTGCAAGGTTTTCAACTCCAGAAAGTTTTTTCTGTCTGATGGAATTCATGAATAACATTAATCATTTGGTTCAGGATGCAAGGTCTGAAGTGGTCTCAGGGTGTTGAAAACAAATTAAAACATTCTCCTATTGCAAGGTCTCAGAAAAATAATTAATTGTATCGGTAGGGCTACTGAAGTTGGCATATTACACACCTATCATATCAAACTGATAGCAGCTGGTTACTTCTAGAAGCCAAAGAATGCTTCAGTGAATAATGGAAATGTTCCCGGTATTAAGTTTTAGCACCCATGTCACGCAATATTTTTTCAAGACAGATAACCCTACATCCAAAAAGTAACACTGTTGTCATCTCAAGGGATAACGGGGTATAATCAGCTGTCACTGCCAAGATTAGATGCAGGCTAAAACAATGCCCCATAGCTCAAATCTTCTATATTGTTCATGAAGTTTTTAATTTCAGGGCAAAGGATGTTAGCTAGAAGTAGTGCATTAGATTAGAACCTGGAGTTTCATTTGGTTATACTTGACTGCAATGCCAAGGTAATAAAAAATATGACTAAGGCACCTGTTATGGAGGGAGAATCAACGTTTGGTCTTCTGGGTGTTGTAAGACTGTATTCCTACCAGCCCTAAGCCAGCATAACCACTGATGGGTCCAACATCTGTAGGGCCACAGCTTGCCCATCTTACAACCAAGAGATCATACAAACTTCCCCCAAAGCAAAGTAGCACCATTTTCCACTTTTAAATATTGAAAGTATCTCAATTTTCTCCCCTTTATCCGCACTACTCTGCAAATGAACACACAAACATTGGACTGCAGAGAAAGAGTAGAAGATATGATGCCCTTAGATGTTTTGGGCTACATTTTCCATATGCCCAGGCACTCTGGCCAATAGTGAGGGATTCTGGAAAATGCAGTCCAAAACTTATGGGTGGTATTGACAAGCTTACCCTTCCTGACCAAGAGTAATTTCTAGTTGTATTAATAAAGTTCACTCTAATTAATCTCTACAGAACGCAGAACACCTGTTCCTAAATGTAGGTCTCCGGATGTTGTTAGACTAAACGGAATCAACCAGGGATGGAAACTGGAGACCTTGGTATACTCCTTCTACCTGAGGCAGCTATCCTCTTCCCCTGTGCACACAGCTTTGGGAGGAACTCACATGGAGCAGTGAGGGAGGAAGAGGATACCGCCTAACCAGTCAGATCAGCCGAATCAACCCTGGAGATCAATGGGGTGACAGATGTCAAGGTCAGCTCGCCCTTGAATAAAGCCCACTCTAATTGATCTCTACAGAATGCAGAACACTGGTTCTTAAATATAGGTCTCCAGATATTGTTAGACTACATGGACTTCACTTTTTTTTGCCACTGATTGGCATGTTCATGCAGACAGAGGGGACAGAGCTTCATCTGTTGCCCTGTAGTGCAGTCCACTGGTTGTCCAAAAAGGTCTGAAGATGGGTCTCTGCTTTGTGTGTTCTATGAAATATGGGTAATATATGATATCTCCTAGGCTTAGAAAGTACAAGTGGGCAGGTACAGCTCTGTGGAGCTTCTATTTATAATCAAATGTAGAAAAGTCATGGAAGACAGGGGAGGAAAGCAGAAGCAAGGGGGACATTACAGTGATTGTAGTTCTTTTGGATGGGGTACAGAGGACTACTTGCTTGCCTTTATGCTCCATCTCAAATCTGTCTAGTCCCAGGATGATCTTCTTACTAGAAAGCAGATGTTATTCAGTCAGCACAAGTTTTAAGATATGATGGGACTGCAAGAAAGCTTTCCCTTGAAGATTGAAGTCTGCAGGGGAAGGCTTTCCCTCAGTTCTATCACATTTACAGGTGCATTTGGTGAGGACTTGAGAGTAAGCCCCGGAACTCCCATCCACATGAGGTCTGGTTGACCCCCTCCATGTTGTCTTTTTCCCAGCAGATGAAGACATTGTTACTGGGACAGGCCTTTGAATTTTAATTATGGAGCAGTAGTGTGTGTGTGAAGTAATGCCCTGAATTTTTAATCTTTTATTGGAAATTATTTAGGTTTCTTTAATAGTTAACTGTGTTTTCTAAAAAAATTCCTGGAAGTAGGAAAATGTTGGAGTGCTCCATTTGAGAGTGTACCCTCATTTCTTTCCTCCCAAGCTGAGACCAGTTGCTTCTCCATGCTCTGAATTGCCTCCCCACCCACTCACCTTCCCACTGGTAGGTGCCAGCAGTGCCCCCCCCAATCCTTGAGATTTGACAACTACTGTATAGTATGAAGAACTAAGTGTACAGAACTATGTAAACTGTGAAGATCTCAACCACCTAAGTGCATCTATACTACACTGCTTAAATTGTCATGGCCTCCACCTAAATGAATTCTTGGATTTGAAGCTTGATGAAGTGCTCCAGATTCTCTACTAGCAAGCTCTTGTGCTTTCACTTCTCTGAACCACAGCAATAGAGGAGCTCCTTAGCAGAGAATTTGAAGTAACTAACCTAACTACATTTCCCAGGATTCCACAGGATGAAGTAAAGGCAATAGAAGAGCATCAGATTGCTCTAAATGTGTAGAACAGATACACTCTTTGTTAAGGTACATATTGGATTATTGGATTATTATTATAAACTATAGTATAACTTCTGCATTCATGGGGTACACATGCATGGATTTTGTTTGGAACTGCAGGTAACAGTGCACTCTATTGTTCTCAGTGGTATAAACAATGGAGCTACCAAGCAGAGAGTGTAGCTTGTGCAGGAGTAAATGAAACTGCAGATAAATGACACCGCATCTATCGGTTCTGCACACATGGTGGCTTGTACTGTACTCTATTGTAAATTATAATACCGTGCAGTTTAGAAAAGTTGCTTTTTGGGACTACAGTTTTGCTGGATCCTGTAGCTATAGACCTAGTGAAATTGCAGCCCAAACTGCTGGTTAGGCAAGTCCTGGGAATTGTAGTAGAGAAAAGGATCCCAAAATGATTTCCAAACAGCAATAATTACAGAGAGAAATTACCAATTCAATCCAAGAATTTACGCTAACAGTGATGGGGTCAATGGATTCTACATAATGCCACCAGTGTCTGGGAACAAACAGCACCTGAAAGGGAGAGAAAAGGCATAAAAATTAAAACATTGCTGAAATCATGCCCTGAAAAATCTTTGTAAAATTTCAATTATAAAGTTTTTCTTAAGTTTAAAGAACATCTTACTGACTACATTCTCAGGAATACTTTCTAAACTTTTTCCACTGATCCTCTCTCTGCATTGTAGCATACAAAGAATGTACTGGGGTTTTAAAAAATATTATATTAATAGTTCTGTGCCTCTCTTTCATTCAAATGAATATGCAGAGTGCTTTAGGAAAAGAAAAGCAATAAAAACATTAAACCTCAAATTAATTCAACAATCATTAAAAGCAGCAGTAATTAAATCAAATCATTAAGCAAATCAGACAAAGGTTAACAAGAAATAATATTATGGAGCTAATGAACAGGAGGACTTGATGGTATATACACTAAAAGCTCTTAAAGAACTGAACTGCAAAATAATTGCTCAGCTAACAAAAATAGGCAATGTGCCATTTTACAGCCTGGAAGTGGGATAATCTTTAGGCGTCCGAGGAAAAAAACACTTTCAAACAAGATCCTTCAGTAGACGAGGCCTGTCTCATGTAACAACAACAACAATAATAACAATAACAACAACTTTATTTTTATACTCCACCACCGTCTTCCCAAAGGGATTTGAGGCAGCTTACATGAGGAACCAAGACCAAGTCATACAACAAGATATATCAACAAATGCAGTTAAAAACAATATATATAACAGCCTAATAAATAAAAAAACAGCAAGGTATAAAAACATCATTAAACCAAACTTCAATAACAAGGGATTTGGTGGACATGATCAGAATTAGAGAGGGCTGGGGAAGGACTTATGCAAAAGACTATCGCGACAAAGCTGGAGATAAGATGCTGAAAACAGTCTCCTCTCTCTTACAACCTGACATTTCCCACCCTGTTCTGCCTATGACCACTAATTGGACACAGCTCAGATTTTGTACTACTTTACTTTGTGCCTACCTGTATTTGTTCCCTAACTCTTGTCCAGTGTCAATTCATTTTGGTTTCCATGTTTCTGTCACTCATATCCTCCTCACCCACCATATATATTCCTGCTGTAGTGTTCATGCAAACTGGCAAATTAAGTGTGCACATCTTGGGACTGGGAGATTGCTTCTTTTTATTAATAAACTGCCTTGGCTTGTTCAGTATGAGAGTAAAGTTTTGGCTTGTCATGGATGCTGACAGCAAAATAAGGAAGCCAGGTCAGATTATTTGTCCATTGCACTTTACTGTTTTGCTCTACCTGGCAGTGGATCTCTGGCAAAGTTCATACTTTAGCTTTAAAAAAAAAACCCAACAACATGAACTAGAATGCCCAGAGTGGTGAAATCAGCAGAGCCTAGGCCCTACATCTCCCAGAATCCCCAAACAAAATGGATTGGTGTTTTACTATGGGATTCCAGCAGTCCTAGTCAAACCTGCCCAATTGTTTGGTCTTAGTTGTCACCTGCTACTTGATTCTGTTTGTTTTTTTTACTAGATGGATTCAAGATGGAGACACCTGTCCCCATTTTTTTTCCTCAAGTCCCCTCAATGACAACCTGGGAAATTTACAGTTTTGTACCATAATCCCCTTATTCCCTCCAACTTGGCCAATGGCTATGCCAGCTAGGGGATTCTGGTACTTGAAATTCAAAACATGTAAATATGGTTTTATAGGTTTTTGTTATGTTTCCTTGATCTGTATTGTTTTTAAATGTTGTGAGCCACTTTGGGTTGCGTTTAGCGAGAAAAACGGGCTATTAATAATAATAATAATAATAATAATAATAATAATAATAATAATAGGTAAAGGTAAAGGTTTCCCCTGACATTAAGTTTAGAAGTGTCAGACTCTGGGGGGCGGGGGGGGGGGGGGGGGGGGGGTGTGCTCATCTCCATTTCTAAGCCAAAGAGGTCATGTGGCCAGGATGACTGGATGGAGCGCCATTATCTTCCCACAGAAGCGGTACCTATTGATCTACTCACATTTGCATGTTTTTGAACTGCTAAGATTGACAGAAGCTGGGCCTAACAGCGGGAGCTCACTCTGCTCCCTGGATTCCAACCGCCAACCTTTCGGTCAGCAAGTTCAGCAGCTCAGCGGCTTAACCTGTTGCACCACCAGGGGCCCCAATAATAATAATAATAATAATAATAATAATAATAATAATAATAATAATAAAGTCTGGATTATTGATGTCGCCATACCAGGTGACAGCAGCATTGAGGAAAAATAACAGGAAAAACCCAGCCGCTATCAAGACCTCAAAATTGAACTGCAAAGGCTCTGGCATAAACCAGCACAGGTGGTCCCAGTGGTCATTGGCGCACTGGGTGCTGTGCCAAAAGATCTCAGCCGGCATTTGAAAACAATAAACATTGACAAAAATCACAATCTGTCAATTGCAAAAGGCCACCTTACTTGGATCTGCGCACATCATTCGAAAATACATCACACAGTGTTCGACTTGTGATTTTGTGATACGAAATCCAGCATATAGATCTCGTTTGCTGTGACATACTGTGCTTTTGTATCAGTAAAATAATAATAATAATAATAATTTATTATAAAAGGAATTTTTCCAAGTGTTCTCTTATCCCGAAACACTGGTCCACATCCAGGATCTGACAAAGCCAAGTTTAGGATCTCATGAGAAGTGCTGGCAGCCTCAGAGCTTTATAATCTTCCATGCCAAATCCAAGCATCAGACTACTACACTCCTGTACATCATCTCACAAACAAAAACTCAGCATATTATTAGCAATATTATTATGTTCATCCTCAAAATAATTTTAAAGTATTTAAATAGTTGTAGAAGCTCCACGGAGTACACAGAAGAAAAATTAAGGCATGCTTTGATTGATCACTGTATAGACTGGTTTAACAGGCAGCTCAAAGCAGCATTAAAAGATTAAAGGTTGAAGGAAGAATGGTCAATGGGACATAAGGCCCTTCAGCATTATTTTGGTGTTTGGGAACATTTCCTTTTAAGAGTGACTTTGTTTCAAGGTCATATAGAAAGTTAGTCCAGTGTTGCATTTAGAATACTTGACTTCCTCTTGTTTTTTCTTAGCAGAATTATCTCGCCTAAAAAAATCCTCCACCGTCTTGTTCTACCAATATTTACCACAGAGAGTCAACAACTACTGATAACCTCTCATCCAAAATCCTCTTATCTCCAACAGGATTATTAGCCTTGGACTCTTGCAAGGCTTAGGTATTTTTTAAAAGAAACAAACTCACCATCTTCTCAAAATGCACAGGAAACTTTTAGCTAAACAATCCCCACCCACACGATTGGAGCCTGCCCGTTGTACAAATATGTTCAATGGCTTTACTAATGAAGCAGTCATTTCCAGCCTAAAGGCAGAACACTGACTCCAATATGTTTTCCTCTGTAGGGATACTTCTGGAATTATTCCCACAGAGGAACATGACACATGGAAGACATTCCTCCAAGTCTGCAAATTCACTGGGATTATTCAGGAAACATCTATGAGCAATGCACAATGTCTCTGCCAGATCCAGCTAATATAACTTCACTGAAAAAGAAATCCACCTAAAACTTTCATGTACTAAATTCAATTTCAGGTGAGGAAGAACAAAACCCAAAAGGCATAAGGCATCCCACTCCTAGTAAGTATCTCTAAATCCCATGGATTTCAATAGAGATGAGTGAATTCCTATTGGTCCCCCTGCATACCTAACAATGCAATTCGACACATCTAACTCAGTCAGGAGGAAGATCCTCTAAAAGTTACTTCTCCCTGATTACAGAATTGCAACCTAAATCTTTCACACTAAATACTTGCTGAGCTATCTCCCCTATTGAAAATGAATGGGATTTCAGCTTTGGCTTAATTATGTTTGTATTTACATTTTAGCAAATAAAGCATAGCTTCAAAGTGAAACTGGTGTTTTAAATATTGCACTATTGTAGGCTATTTTTGGTGCACTGCTGCTAACTTGGCTTTAGAAAGAGATTTACACATTTATGGAAGATGGGGTTATCAGTGGCTAGTGGTCATGACAGATATATGTATAGTATATATATTTCAGTCAGTAGAAGAGGCAGAATACCTCTGTATATCAGGAAAGGAGGAGCCATGATGGCCATCCAACAAAAACAAGAAAATCTACAAAGCAGCAATACCTCTTTGGCCAACCAAAATGCACAAATATAGCATGCAAGTATTTGAAGTTTCACTTGATTCTTCATAAAGCAATGAAAAATCACACGAAGGAGTTTTTATGCTCCCAATTCAAGAAAAGGAAATGTTGGTGGATAGGAAAAGAGATTGAAAGATGAGCTTAAAGCTAACCTCAAAAACTGTGGCATAGATACTGAGAACTGGGAAGCCCTGGCCCTTGAGTGGTCTAACTGGTGTTCAGCTGTGACCAGCAGTGCTGTGGAATTCGAAGAGGCAGAAATGAGGGTGAAAGGGAGAAATGTACCAAAAGGAAGGCACATCAAGCTAACCCTGACCGGGACCACCTTCCACCTGGAAACTGATGTGCTCACTGTGGAAGAACATGCAGATCAAGAACAGGGTCCCGCAATCACCTATGTATACACCGCCAAAACACTACATTTGGAAGGCCATCATAATTAGACAACGAAGGATCGCCTAAGTAAGTGAGTAAGCATCAAGCAATGATGTTAAAACTTGTACAGGAGAAGAAACATGCCAATGTTAGAGTTCACAGACCTACATTTTGTCCCAGATATTACTAGTCTGAAGGGATCTCAGTGCAGGCAGAGGCACATCACTTGGGGACTCAGGACAAAGGGCAATAAAAGACAGGTAATAACATTTCACCTTCATTAGCAACAGAAGAGAAACTTCCATGAAGACCCTGTCTATCACTTGTCCTTGTGTGAACCTAACCCTTCCTTAGGCAAAGAGCACTGGATTTCTCAAATAGTTTCAGTACTGTTGCATCTGGAAAAACTTTAGGGAGCGGTATAAGTAAAACTTGTCAAATTGT